AATAGAAATTTTAGGCTAAATTGTGGTCATTGGTTGAGGACTACCTGTATATAGATAACGATAAAGGTTCCCCTCACACATACGTGCTTGTCATTTTTGATTTTAGCGGGTGGTGCTCATCTCCGTTTCAAAGCCAAAGAGCCAGCGCTGTCTGAAGACGTCTCCATGGTCATGTGGCTGGCATGACTTAATGCCGAAGGCGCACGGAACGCTGTTACTTTCCCACCAAAGGTGGTTCCTATTTTTCTACTTGCATTTTTTACGTGCTTTCGAGCTGCTAGATTGGCAGAAGCTGGGACAAGTAATGGGAGCTCACTCCGTTACATGGTGCTAACTGCCAAAATACCAACCTTTCTGATCGACAAGCTCAGCATCTTAGCCACTGAGCCAACGTGTCCCTTACATGTATATACTAAACTGTTGTGGCCCAGCAGGAGCCGTTGGAGCTGCCACCAGACTCCGACAGCAAGGGGCCCTATGAGTCGGCTCTGGAGGACCCTGGACAGGGTTCCGACTCTGAGCAGGGCGCAGAGAGGCTGGTTGGCCACCAGGAGGCACCTGAAGCCTTGGAGCAGTGGGGAGGAGCCAAGGGAGTTGTTCCTAGATGCCCAGCACCAGAGAGCTAATAGGCGTAAGGAACAATTAGACAATTACAGGAGGTAATTGCACTCAGCTGGTGGTCATTAGGCTCATCTCCAGACTATAAAAGGACTGCTTGTGCACACGCCCCTTTTGTAGAAGTCAATGCAGGAACTAATGTGGGAGAACATTATGGTGAGCTTGGTAGGCTGGATTGCTGCCAGGGCTTATCTGTGTTGGATTGCTGCCCAAGCTTGTCTGTGCTGGTTTGCTGCCAAGGACCTGTCTGTCTGTTAATTAAATGCCGTAACTTATCTTTGGCTCGGAGTGTGTTGGTGTGGGACGAGGGGGGTCAGAACACTAAACCATATATTTTAACCATATTCCCCTTTAGCCTTCTCAATACACAGTGAAACAGAGAGCAAAAAAAAACAACATTCAGAGAAGATGAGCCACTAAAATAGAGAAAGCACGATCCATTCTTCGAACATATTGGACAACTGCTTGGAATAAAATGCAAATTTCTTTCCTTGATTTCTGCCACCAACGTGTTTTGTGACAGGATGGCCCTGGCCCATCAGTCACCCAAAAGCTGATCGCCGATGGGTGCCACCTGAATGCTCAACATTCTCTGCATGTATGTGCTGCACCACAAGCTGCTATGGAAAATATGCCTCTGTCATAAACTTAAGCCCAGAGGGTGTCTGGACATTTTCTGCAGGAATTTGATGAAGATTTAAGTCGAGAGCAATTCCAATGAGATGATGAACTGCAGAAGAGGCAATTAAATGTTCCACTGATTATGGTTAATGGGGCTAATTAGAGGATGTATTTTGAAATCGAAATGTCCATGACAGTTGAAGGAAGGAGAAGAAGAGAGGAAACGCAGGGAATAAATAAAGTGTGTCAGTTGTTCAAGGCCTTTTCAACTTCTTCATCCCCTGTTGGTCAAACCTTTATCCTGTTTTATGCAAGGCCAACGTTCCTTCCTGTCACAACTTTGCTACTCTCTCCATCCCTTGGATGCTTAAAATTGTTACTGTATAATTGTGAGGTCAAAGGATTTAGATCAGTCCCTGCCTTTCAGTCTTAAATTTCCTGCACTGGGTTCTTTTAGAAGAGCCGAGGTGGCGCAGTGGTTAGAGTGCAGCACTGCAGGCTACTTCAGCTGACTGCAGTTCTGCAGTTCGGCTGTTCAAATCTCACCGGCTCAGGGTTGACTCAGCCTTCCATCCTTCCGAGGTGGGTAAAATGAGGACCTGGATTGTTGTTGGGGGCAATATGCTGACTCTGTAAACCACTTAGAGAGGGCTGAAAGCCCTATGAAGCGGTATATAAGTCTAACTGCTATTGTTATTGCTATTTTATGGATATTGTGTACATGGGCGCATGGGTATGGAGGAAGATGTACACAAGCTGAGTCAGAAATAAAAAAATAAACAAATACAGGGAGTCCTCATCTTACACCAGTTCATTTAGTGACCATTCAAAGTTACAAGAGCACTGAAAAAAGTGACTTGCGACCGTTCCTCACAGTTCTGACCTCTGGGGAGCATCCCCATGGTCACGTGATCAAAATTCAGATATGCTTCAGATTTACGACCGTTGCTCTGTCCCAAGATCACTTTTTGTAACCTTCTGACAAGCACGATGAACGGAGAAGCCAGATTCACTTAACAACCGGGTTACTAACCGATCAACTGCAGTGATTCCCTTAACAACGGTGGCACGAAAAGTAGTAAAATGGGGCAAAAGTCACTTCACAAATGTTTCACCAACAACAGAATTTTGGGGCCCAATTGTACGGTGGCTCAGTGGCTAAGATGGGAAGCTTGTCGATCAGAAAGCTTGTCGAGCACTACCTGTATGTTACAGTGTAACATCTATAATTTTGTAATTATTTCACCACCCTGTGCTCTTTCAGATCGTATAAACTGGAGAAAAATAAAAAAATTAGTGGTAAGAAGAGGGAAGATACACTTCTCACTCTGGACCCTAAAGAGAGGGTAGAAAGTACTAAAGAGAGCTAAGAGGGAAAAAATATCTCAATTTTAATTTTATTTCGGAGATGGGGAAAACTCTCCATATTATTTTTTTAAAGTATTTTATACACATTTCTCCAAATATATAAATATGTATGCAATTTTGCCCAAGGGCACATTTTGACCAGTTGGCTGCCAAATTATTTTACCCACATACCCACTTTGCTACTTATCGCTAATTTCCCTAACAAGAAAAAATTTCTACATTTGCAAAAGTATACGAACTTCTCCTTGCCTATGGGCAGTATGATGCAAAGTTTTAAACAGATCTAATTTGGGAGTAATTTGACTGCATGGGATTATTGCATTGATTCAAACGTTAATATATTTTATATGTCCAGTGAAAGATGATCCAGAATTTAAGATGCTGCTTTCCAAATAAAAAAATATATTTTTTTAGAAAAAGAGTAAAAATGTCTGTACAATGCATAGCTTTCCTTATTTTGACAATCCAGAGTTACCAATCCTAAAGATTTTCTGAAATCTCCCAACCGATGTGCATGTGATACACTTGTACAGTATATGTACGGTGGCTCAGTGGCTAAGATGGTGAGCTTGTCGATCAGAAAGGTCAGCAGTTTGGCGGTTTGAATCCCTAGCACTGAATAACAGAGTGAGCTCCAATTATTTGTCCCAGCTTCTGCCAACCTAGCAGTTCGAAAGCATGTAAAAATGCAAGTGGAAAAATAGGAACCACCTTTGGTGGGAAGGAAACAGCGTTCCGTGCGCCTTCGGCGTTAAGTCATGCCAGGCAGATGACCATGGAGACGTCTTTGGGCAGCGCTGGCTCTTCGGCTTTGAAATGGAAATGAGCACCACCCCCCTAGAGTCAAGAACGACTAGCACATATGTGCCAGGGGAATCTTTATACGTGCTGAAAGCTTTCACTCACACTTTGAGGGCTAGTACAATGCAATGCGCACAGACATACAATAACACATTTGATTGATAAAATTAATTGATACCCATATCTCTTACATATCAACCAGGGTTCCTAGCAGTTCGCACCTATTCGGTAGAACCGGTTCGTCAAATCTACCGAACCGGTTAGAAGAGGTTCCACCAGTGGACCCGGAAAGCAGGCCACACCTACAGAANTAGATGCGAACCGGCTGAATCCCACCACTGGTATGCAAATAAGGCCACCCAAACACCTGAGCCCCATAAATGCACTTCTCAATAGAAAAAACAAATGGAGCAGAGATGATGATCTAAACCAGTATTTCTTAAACTGTGATCTGAGGAGGGGGTCCTTTAAAACCCTCACAGGGGCTCACAATATCAGAATTACTTGCCAGGCAGTAAAGGTATCTGCAAACATTTAAAAGAATGTTACTCTTCTCGTTATTATGTGTTTTTTTTTGTCATGAAAAATATTCTATTGGTTAACGTGAATTAAATATTACTGTTTTTATATTATCCAATAAATAAATGTTCTACAAATGCATCCATTTTAATTTTAATATGATAAAGATGAATAAACATTGCCCATAGGAATAAAAGCTCTTTAGGGGGCCCCCCATAATGTTCAAAAGTGGGAAGGGGTCACGGGTGGGACTCAGCCAGTTCGCACCAATTTGGGGGAATTGGATGTTGATTTTGCCCCTGGTTTGCTGGTTGTTGCTGGTTGTTGCACCCCATCCCGGGGCCCTCACAAGAGTCTCCACGTGGCCCTTTCATCAAACCAGGTAAGTGAAGGGCCCGCATGAAGGCTATTGGAGGGCCCATTTCCTGCCTCCGGAGGCCTCCAGAGGCCTCCGGGGCCCGGGGGAAGCCATTTCCGTCCTCCTGGAGGCTCAGGGAAAACCTCCAGAGGCTGGAGAGGGCAAAAAATGGCCCTACCAGAAGTTCAAAAATGGGCCCGTTTCTGGCCTCCAGAGGGCCTCCGGAGCCCTGGGGAGGCTGTTTTCACGCTCCTGGAGGCTCAGGGAAAACCTCTGGAGCCTGGGGAGGGTGAAAAATGGGCCTACTGGAAGTACCAGAACGCCAAAAACAGGTCCAATTCCAGCCTCCGGAGCCCGGGGGAGGCTTGGAGAAAATCTCTGGAGCCTGGGGAGGGAGAAAACTCCTCCCTCCCATGCTGCAGGAGGCTGAGAAGGCCACGCCCACCACGGCTGCACCCACCCAGCAATCGGGCATAGAACCCACCCCTGGAAGGGGTCCTAACAACAAAAAACTTAAGGAGTTTTGGTCCAGAGAGCCTCAGCCAAAGGTGCCCACCATTGCCTCCATCGCTGGCATTTGATTATTAGTCAGAAAATGCTGTGGCTTAAAGTTGGAAATACATAAAGTTTGCCTGTCAAAGAACCGATAGCAACACAAGTCATGCACATTTCCTAATTTTTAAACCCACCCTCTTGTCACCGTCCCAAAACTTACATAAATATCATTATTAGCGTAGTTGTACAGAACAGCTCGAATCTCCACCTGTTCGTTCTTCACTACTGAATACGGGACTCGAAGGTCAATGAAGAAGTCTTTCATGACTGTTATTTCATAAGGTTCAGCCACACAGATCCCTGCAAGGAAAGTCAATGGAAAAGCCCCGCAAAAAACATTAATTCTACTTTAATTCTTAGGCGCTTTTCACACCTGCCAACTTTAGCTCCATCGTTCATAATTCTTTACCTTCGGTGGGTGAAATGCTCACAGCCAGCACCTCCCAGGTTGTGATGGAATCCTTCACATTAAAAGACAGTGTTTTGCTTGAAATCCTAGGGACAAAATTAAGGGTGTTACATCATTCCTGTGCAGAGCTATTACAGTGAGCACTTGGACGCTAATACCGGGTAGACAATTATGAACNAGCGAACTAACTGTCTCCTGCAAACTCCACTCTCCTGTTGCTCCTCTTTTATTCCCTGTGGACGGTGAATGGCCCCTCCCAGAGGGTATAAAAGAGGAGCAACAGGAGAGTGGAGTTTGCAGGAGACAGTTAGTTCGCTTCATTGGTGCGTGACTCTCCAAGACTCCATGCCAAGTTTTGCAGATATTGGCCAGTGAGCTCTCCAAACCAGATAAGGTCTGTGACTGTAAATCTTCCCTTGGAAAGACTTTGTTGGATGTGAATGAGAAGAATTCACAGTAAATTAGGAGTTTGCTTCATGCTCTCGGGAAGCCTTGGTCAGAACAGAGACATCTAGTACGTTCACTCTGCTCTCCTTCTAAGCAACTTCATTTTACGTAGCAGGATGAAGATTCTCAGCTACCCTCGTTTAGAAGAAGTTGTCTAGAAGTTGAGTCATGGCAACTGGAGTTCTTTTCTTTCGTTCCACGCCAAAAAAAGAACAGAACTTCAAGTCACGGCAACTGGTTTGAAACCGAAAAAGAAAAGAAGTCCATCTGCCATGACTCAACTTAGGTGTTTTCAGAAATCAAAACGTTGATAACCGACATGTTATTTTCATTCTAAGTGTCCTTCTTTTCCCCTCTTCGATGTTTCCAGTCTTAATAGCTTTGCCAAGTTCCACCCAGCAGATCCTCCTACAGCAAGGGAACCTTAGTGAGATCCCTCCTCTGTCCTTCAGCAATTTCACCAGCCTTTATTTCTTGTCGCTCACCGGATTCCTGGTCTCCTCCTTGGCCGACTTCACCTTTTTCACGCCATACATCAACCCCCTGAAGATTCTGGATCTCAGCAACAACCAGTTGCTCAGTTGTACGGTCGAGCCCTTGGCTTTCTCGGGTCTTCTATATCTTGAAGACTTGGTTCTAACCAACAACAGCTTGGATGTTCTGAAGGGGACGTGGTTCATGGACATGCCGAGACTCAAGAAACTCTCCCTTGCCCTTAACAGAATCACCTACCTCCCCCCGAGGACCTTTGAGGACTTAAACACGCTCGATGAACTGGTGGTCTCCTCCAATATGATTCAGTATCTCCCCATGGATGCTTTTTTGGGATTGGGTTCCTTGACCAAGCTGGACTTATCGATTAATAAAATCCTCTTTATCAACCAGGAAGCCTTCCAACCTTTGCAAGCACTCCAAGATCTCTTGTTATTCCAGAACAGGTTGACCACCTTGCCAACTCTCCCGGATTCCATCAACTTCCTGCTTCTTCACAGAAACCCCTGGTTTTGCAACTGCCAGTTGATCAAGTCCATGAAGTCGGTGGAGGCTAAAATCCAATTGCTTACTGGGGTCACTTGCAAAAGACCCTCCTTTCTCGCAGGACACCAAGTGACCAGCAGCCAGCTCTTGGGGTGTGCTCCATCACCTTCCAGCTATTTGTCCTCCCTGCTGTTCTCAACCATCGACTCTTCGCCATCACGATCAGGAACCATCAAGCTGATCTGTGGTTTGTTAGGTAAGTCATCATTGAAGCGGTCATAAATTCAAGGTTGTTGTTTTTTTAGTTTGTCAAACATATCCGAGATAACAGGTATAAGTCTAAACATGGATGTGAACAAAGGAAATGAGTAAAAATAAATGGGGGCAGTAGGACAGTGACGGTAGGCACGCTGGTGCGCTTATGCGCACCATAATGGGTTGTGCTTGACTTCAGGAGGCCAGGGTGGCTGTGGCCAGCATGATGTCATGGAGCACTGTTACCTTCCCACCAAAGTGGTACCTATTTATCTATTCACTTTTGCATGCTTTCAAACTGCTAGGCCAGAGGTGTCAAACTCAATTTCATTGAGGGCCAGATTAGGGTTGTGTTTGACCTCACGGGGGACAGGGTAGGCATGGCAAGCTTGATGTCACTTGTGTCAGGGCGCCTGTGGTGGCCCCAGTGAAATTGGGCTCCCGAGGTCCGTTTTCAGCT